TTGAAGCACAAGTACAGAACCATCTACAGATAGGGTTACAGGACTGGCTTTACGAAGTTGATGGGGGGTGCCAATAAGCATGACTTCAGTCTTGTCGCAGTTAAAATGAAGGAAGTTTTCAGTTTCAGGAATTGTCAGTGTTTTAGAATACGTGCCTCTCACAACCAAGTTCTCATTCTGATTAAACTGGCTTCAGATGTACTAACAGATGTACCCGCCTCCTCAAAACCTGTCTCGCTCCAAGACCCTCGTGTGCCAAATGGGCATCATTCCGCTGATGTGCATAGCTGCGATATGGCAGTATCCTGTCACCTACATCCTCACTCATAAAAACAGAGAAACAAATAGAGATTCTGACATCAGGCCTGCCTGCAATTCTTCCACTTACAACCCTCAGAAGTGAACTTCAACAATGTTTCTTCAGTCACTTCTGAAAGCATCGCGGGTGGCTGTGTTTTATTTAAATCCAGGTGGGGAAAAGCAATTGAACCTAAAGGGCATCTCGTGAAGTGTATTATTAATCACAAGCACTTATTCTCAGCCTCAGATTGAGCTGACTGGTAACAAGAAATTGTCTTAATGACCTACTCAAATGATGTTTGAGTTCAAATGACTCAAAATAATAAACAGGAAAGGATATCCTGTAACCTGCTGCTTTACTAAAAGGAGAAAATGTCTTGTCACAATCAGAGAACATTCAAACAACTAGTGTGCAAAGGAATAGCCTGCATTTAGTAACGATGGGAAGACTTCACAGCGGACAAATTCCTCACTTTTATACCCACGAGTTCCAGCTATCACCGCTAATAAATTCTAACACATTTTTTTTCCTCATTAAGACTAGTTCGAACCTTCATCTCAGGTTCAGCATATCTCAGCTATCTGTAATTATTCGTGATTTGTGACGCTGGTGAGAAAAGGGAAGGGCTTTTTCTTACTTTTACCGTACTAAGTCTGTTCAAAAACACTTAACGAAAATAGCAACAGCAGTCCTGTAATCTTTACTTGCTGGAGTTCATGGCACAAACCCAGTCCCGACTAACCCTAGAAAGGAACGAACAGTTAAGTTTTATTCAACCAGATAAATTGCGTTGCAAAGAACCTTAAAAATGCTTTTCACTGAATAAAGGTATACTTTCTCTTGTTTGAAAATAGAAGCATTCTTTTCTATTTTATCGAATGTAGAGAATGTAATTCGGTCAATTGGATGTCTTTGCTTTACATGTGCATGATGCTGACCTTAAACACTATAATTCTAATTCACCTCAAATGCTACTATTGCTTGATTTCTTTACTGGATTACAAAAACAGACAGGTCGTTAAGCGGAAATAAGACCGCACTTTAAACTTGATGCGAAGTCAAAGGTTCAAGGTTAGTATCAACCATTTTTAGAAAACAGCTTCCATGTCCCAGACCCGATTTATATCAGTTTAGCACTTTCGTTACTCCTCCTGCACAACCTCAGCTTCACCAGATCGGGCCTGACGACTCGTTTGCAAAAACTTGTGCTCTTCTCCCGCTCTTCCTGTTACCGATACCACGCTAGACATTGCAGCACAAACCGCAGGGCACAGCCTTACTAATGATATCCTTAGTCAGACTGCCCCTAATTCGCTTAATTGAAGGCTAAATAAAGCAATCACGTCAATCAAACCACCGCATATTCATCTGCAAAGCTTTATTTTGTGTTATAAAATGTCAGTTTGTGGATTACGTAATTGAGAAGCCTGCATTTATAATATGAAAAGAAAAACCCAAGAAAACAATGTCATTTTGTGGATTGATAATACAAATCAAGGCTTCATAAATATGTAATGTAACGTAAAATATGGCATTGTATTTTCAAGCGAGCAAACAGATCAATTGGGTAAGGCAATTAACATCCAAAAGGAATTAGGTCCAAGTTAACCCAAACGACATTCATTTTTCTTATTTGACTGGTTTGGTCAATTCGTCAGATCACCTCATTGGTTGAAGATCTGATACTTTACCAACTGCTGAATACCAGCTCCAACTATTCATAGCAATTTTCCGTCCTTGCTTAAGGCATGGCGCTTGACGTTATGAAAATTTTCAGCGTTCCTTTCCAAGAAGGTCGATGTGTTTACTCTTTGATCCTACCTCTTGTAAATTCTTGCAAAGACAGAAGGGTGCAAAAATGTCCCATCTTCTGTAACCTGCGATTAAGTGTATAGTCTACCCTTCTACAAGGAATGCAATCAGGACAAAAGCACAAACTCGAAAAAAATAATTTAGCATAATTACCAAGGGATGCATATTCATGTTAGTCTACGTGCTTTGTTTTCGTACGTACTGTAGTTATATGTAATCTATGTTGTGTAATCTATGTTTCAGCAACCACATTTTTAATAGAACAGAAGTTTGGATCTATTAATATAGCGGCAATAATTTAATGATAGCTACTGTCAAAAATAAGCTCTTATGCTTAAAACAATATAAATAATATTTTATAACTGTACTGTAATGATAATGCTAATTAACCGAGAACTCAAAGTACTGTACGTCTGACATCTAAGCTTGAACATAGTCAAATCAAACCTGCTGAGAAAGACATGGAGCTGTCACGCCCACTCCGTCATTTAAAAATATCAAACTGACTCAACAATCGTTATCGATTTTAAGAGCAGAAGAAAACCCGGGGATTTTGTAATTAAAACGCTTTAGCTATACTGTAGGTTAATGTGTATACAGTATTTTGACTTCAAATGCAGCAGAACGCACGACACACGACTGCAGTGTGTGATTACTAGTAACTACGCAATGTAGACAAATGCCGTGTATTTTTGTTAAACTACGCATAGATCAAATAAAAGATGTTCATTATATTCAAGCACATTCGATTTTTCTTCGTCTCGGTTATTTAATATGGTCAGACTAATCATACACTGTTATGCCTGTACCGTCGGGAAATCCAGATTGCTCTCTCGGTACCTGCAGATGACCATTTGTAAAGATCATTTGGTAAACTGGTGCAAATGAACTTATCCAACTCTGTGGGACAGTCTGCTCTGTCCTACCATGACTTCTTGCAAACACTGTTACTGCACAACATCTCGCAAAGGCGGCATGCTTTTCTTTATGTTTTTTTTTTATCATTTCTAGTTGTATTACCATGGAGATACATTGTATACATTGGAGATTCTATTGTATAAAAAGCACTGTAATGCTTCTGAGAAGGCACAAATCTGCAGAAAAGATTCTCGTCTCTAACCACCGCATTAGCTAGCTAATGCTAATGTTAGCTTTACACATCCGCCACCTTTCAATAACAGCAAAAATAAAACGCGTGTCAGAAGTATAACATTAATGGTATCAGAAAGAGCAGTTAATTTGTCTTCAATTCAGTCTTTTTCCAGTTGTAGATTAAATTCATCCACAAATCATGTAGCCCCATTGCACAATACCGTGAAACCGTTATCTCCACAATACAGCTTAACTAAAATAATGACAAAAAATACCTACCCATAGCTCTGTCCCCCAGCTCATGGTTTCAAGACGATCGTCTCTTTATAATCCACGGTTTCCAAGGGCTTTTCAATAGTTGAGTCAACAGTGAGTTTGATAATGTTTGAGGTCTTTATTCCGCCTATTATATCTTCCTTAACTCACCTCCTCATTCTGTTTCTACAAAATGGCCAGGAACTGCTGCACAGACTAGAGCACCATGCGGGCTCCCGCGCCGTCCAATGACAGCTGCGCGGGGACGCGCACAGAGGGGAAAGTCAAAATAACGTTGAAGCGATGAGGTGTGCTGCAGAAATCGGGGGGTACTCTAATGCTAATCGAAAGCTGATGCTACCCTGTGAGTGTTTTTGCGCGGGCAAAGGACTCAGATGGTTTAAAAAAATATTATTCTAATCACTTTAGTGTTGGGTTCACGAATGCGGAGAAGCTTTTACAACGCAAGGTTTACTTCGGTTAAATGACCTTTTCCTGTTGTTGTATTCAAGCACGCCACTGTATTGAGTACACATGTGGACGCGAGTGATGCTTGCACCACAGTCGAGAACGCGCGATTTGCCTGCGTCTCACACCTCTTATTTATCAGACAGCCGAAGAGAGCACGCCGCAGAATTAAGACCACCGACCATGGAGACCCGTTGTTCTTTATTTTTCTTCTTGAAACAAAAAAACGGTCATATTTGAAAGATAAATACTTAATGCATATTTATATACAGTACAGCCCTCATTTTCTCTAAAGGATCTACAACGTTTATGCACGTAGAGGCAGAGGAACATAAGAAGAGAAAATGCATTTCCCTTAAAAAAACTGACAGCTGCAATTGTGTTTTCATTTTGAATAAGTATCAAGTCACAAGTCTTGTATTAAGGAAAAAGTAATAGATTTATTTCATGAAAAGAGAAGAAAGAAAACACAACGTTTCGGCTGTGGAACCTTCTTCGGGTGACGCGAGTCTTGAATTGAGTCTTGTTTTTTATCAGCCTGTCTGATTCAAAGGGCCGAGCAAAATAAATTTAAAATCACGCTTTTAAAATAATTCCAATGATATACCAACGACTGTTGTAACTATTTTCGCTATTCGCTGATCAAAAGCGTGCTAAATACAGTATACATTAAAAACTGAAGCGTACTGTAGTCTTAAGCAGTCTTTGCACGAGTGGAAGGGCGAACAGCGTCATCTATCGACTTGAAGTTACACAGTGAGAAAATCCGTTGACAGATTTGGTCAAACTATTTAGCTCATGCACAAATACGGTCATGCTACCGTTCTCTGTGTTGTTTCCATTTCTAAATACTTGTTGATGCAGTTGTTCGAGTCATGTGTGTTCTTTGGAACAAAACGAAATACAGCAAATTGTTAGGTGTCAAATTTAAAGGTCAGGTCTTCTAGAATGTAATATTAATGCAGATTTGAAAGATTTATTAAAAGCCTACAATCCTACAATTCCACTATCATACATGTACGTTTGTTATTTAAATATAACTATTTTAAGTAGTTATAAAAGTGAGAAATATTTTAGATTAGATGTTTTCCATATTAAGTACTAACATCAATCGTAATTATTCCCAGATCCATGTGTTAAATACAAACCACTGAATTTCTGTGCTCCATACATGCTAAAGAATCACGTTATTCAAATGAGGTTTCTATGAAATCGGAATTAGTTATATTTTTTGCACTTTCGTTTGACCGGACCCGTCATGGTGTGCACAAGGTTTTTGTTTCTAGGGAACACTAATTACCGCCGGACATAGCGGAAGTAGTACAAGCAGCATGGAATTCATATGGGGAGGAATGTTGTGTTGGTAAGTTCGTGTACTGTATATGCGGTAGTTTGAAGTAATCTGAACAGATCAGCTTTAAAATTAAACAAATTTCATCATACAGCAAAGGCGATAACTGTCATTTTAAGTTATAGTTGATTTCATTTCGAAAGTATTTGGCTTCGGTTACATGTGCTTACGCTGCAGTGTACAGACACTGGAACATTTGATATTGCTAATTGTATCTTTGCAAACATCAATAAATGTTTAAGGTAGTTTACTATGCAAAGGCAACGTGATTGTCTCTCAGTTAAATTGGCCATTTTAAAATACCACATGCATTACTAGTTACTTTTGTCTCTTGTATTTTTGAAGTGTAACAGAAGCAGTGGTAAATTAAATATTTGCGGCAAGCAAATCTGGACAGATAATACCTTAATAACCCTGTGTGAGAGACTTCGTTTTGACTTGGAGCTACCTGACAGCAGTCGCGGAAATCATGTCAGGAGTGAAGTTACAGGGTGTTGATAAGGCGGCTGTGACCAAGACCCGTGGACCTAAACCAGAGGAAAAGAAAAACAAACGTCGCCTCAAGGAAAAGAAGTCCAAAAGAAAGGTGGAAAATGGACACTTAAAGAAAAAAAAGAAGGGAGGAGCTAATGTGAATTTCATACTGCCTCCCAAGGATTCTCAGCAGTTTTCATCTAACTGGAAAGCGCTGCAAGAGGTAGGAGAAATATTTCAGGATACTAGTTACAGAAACGTATTTAGTAATCAACTTTGATATTTTTGCAGAGTAATTTGGTTAGTTACATTGTATTTTATGCCTGTATATCCCAGGGTGTTGTAAGTTAATTGCACCAAATGCAGTAATGAATATGAATGGACTTCAGTTGTTTGCCTGTTGTAACTACCTTCCAAGTGACTCTAGTACAAAATCCAGAATGTGGCATTTGAAAATGTTTTCAGCTGAATCTAAGACACCTTTATACTGGTAATTAACACTTTCTTTTCGTAATTCCGGCATGTTGACTTGTACAAGCTGGAATTGTATGCAAGCCTGTTCATATTTTCACTTAAAAAAGTACATGTGATATTCTGCCTTTTTTCATTTTTGTCCTATGAATTAGCTGCTTAATCAGAAGAAAGAGACAGAAAATCAAGAGGCTGAATCTACTAGAGCACAACAGATATCCAAGAAAAAGACAAAGAAGCCTAAGAAGCACCCTAAAGAGCTTGCAGTTAAAGATCAAGGTAGCGGGGAATCCCAGGATCACCGTGGGAAGCAAATTATAGACTGTCCCTTGCCTTCCACCTCCAAGCTAAATGGGGATGCTGTCCCAACACCCCAGGAGAAAAGGAACAAAGAAAAGAGGAAAAAGGAGCTTGTACCCAAAGAGACAAATGAAAAGGGATGTAAAAAAAGAAAAATTGAGATGTCCACTGAGATCAAACTGAGAGAGTAAGTCAGGGGCCTTAAATAAGAGTGCCTTGATCTTATGTCAAGCAGGTTCAGTTGGTTTAAAGTTTTGGAACATAAAGATGTTTTAGTGTCCACATGAAGTACAGCCAGACAGTCTTGTCATACCATGCCTTGGTTGGTTGGCAAGCTAATTATTACTAGCAAGTGCCTCCATTTTATAATAATAATAATAATAATTGCTTACACTTATATAGCGCTTTTCTGGACACTCCACTCAAAGCGCTTTACAGGTAATGGGGACTCCCCTCC